GGTTTTGTCAAACTTGCTTTGTAGTACAGCCTCTTATCAGAGAGTCTGAATCTGCCTTCAAACACCCCAAGAGCAACTTGAACCTGATCCAACTCAACGTGTCTGATGACTCTATAAAAAAAAAAAAAACTATTTCTTTGAACTTGAGTAGATGAATTTGCTTTGAGGTTTGTGTGAACATAAACTAGATATTTCTGAACTGTACTCACAAAGACGAGATGCTTGTGTGTGAAACTTGTTAATGTGGCTGCGAAATGTTTCACAGAGTTGTGGTTTTTCCTCAGAACATTATCTGTTCTGCTTTCCAGATGCAGCTTTTACCCTAAAAATATTATCCAGGATGCAAAAAGCACAGCCCTCACTTGTGTTGTGTTGGCAAACAGCATCTCGACAGTCACACACACTGTGTTCATTACAGGAGTTCCACACAAACTTTCTGGCTCTCATGGTTAAATTCTGAGGAAACGTTCAGCAACCACAAACCGTCATTTGGTCAAAGTGATGCTGGGGAGAACGTGTGTGGGAGTCTGAATCATGTTTTTAGCGTGTTTTACCTCTGAAACAGATAAAGTTGAGGTCAGGATGATCCAGAGTGTTTAAATACCTTCATCCTCCTTCCCTGCCTCCCCCTAATGAATGTTCGCCTTAACAAAAACCTCCTGAGCTTTTTTCATTTGACGAGAAATCTCCCACAGGAGGACATTTCTGCGGTCAGAGATATAATGTCCAGCTGGGATAATGCAGACCTGTGAGGAATGTAAAACACTGTACTCTAAAGTAGTACAGAGATTGCTACTAATGATGTAAGTTAATATATGTAATTTCCCACTTAGTGACTCTTAGTACAGCTGCTTGTTTCCAACTTACAGCTGCACATTAGAGCTCTGAAATTCTAAATTATTCATTTAAAAATGAAGCTCAACATTTAAGTTTGACACCGTCCCATAATGTAGAAGATGTGGAAATCGCCTCCGTTTTTGGCCAAATCAAAGCAAAATTAATGTTTTTGATTAAATACCAACAGACTAAGACACTGACTCAATCAGCTTTTTAAGTAGGATTGCTATTAATTTTAATTAATGCAATTTTGCACATTCTCAGGTGAGTAATTGGCGCATTACTGCACATTTATATATTTTCATAGCTTTCACCACCTTTGTAACACCTTGGACTTGCTTCACTTGCTTTTTGTTTGGCTTGCAACACTCTATCTTTTACACGTGTATAAAATGTATCCACTTGTCAATGTTTACTGTAACAAACCAAAACATTCACTTACATTTCACGCATTTGAAACCTCACTTGATAATGAAACTGATTCTGCTTTCAATCTGTGCAGTATCAGTAGTGTACAACGGACTGTGCAGCAAATCAGAACCAAACATACTTGTGCATTTTCTGCATTCCTTCCTGAATGCATGTAAGTTCCAATGGCAATGCGACGCATACAGTTTGCAATACCGTAAATGCACGGCTTCATTCAGGGGGAGTGCTAACATACGGCTCAACACGTGCAGGTACAACATTCTGCTCAAAATATTTTCTACAAACAGTGATAATAATCAGTCAGCAACTTTAAATACACAATATTATCACTTTGAAAGATAAAAACGTATTAAAAGTTTAACAAATAAAACTAAATAAAACTACAAATCCATAATATTTCCAGTCAACCTCACAGCTACACATGTTCTTCTCATCATCACTGGATACCTGCTTTTATCTTTTATCAAGAATGGGAGTAAATCTTTTGATGAAGTTCTTCCTGTTGACTCCCACACACACAGACTCAGTTTGACCTTTCCGTCTGTTTCTGCCTTCAATATTTTTTCTCTTTTTTGAACAGTTCACTCATGTCCAAAGAAACTAATGTGAAGCAGCACTTGGTAAAACATATTTACTGTGAAATCTGTGGCACAGACTGACATTAAGAACATCCGCGGTCAGTGATGGATGTGTTTTCTTAAGAATAGATCATTTCAGGTCACTGGAATATAAAAACAGACGAGGAATTTTTCAAAGGAACTGCATAACACATGGATGAGGAAACATGCTGTGTTTGTGGGAAAGTAAATCTGACACCAGCCTCCCTGCACTAAATATACATAAATATAAAGTAAGGATGGAGCACTTGCACAAAGATGTAGAGCAGAAATCTTGGCCATAAAAGGACATTGGTATTATCGCATTTGCTTCTTTGTTTGGTGAATTACTGTAAAAGAATTCTCATAAGAACAGAAGTCCATTTAAATTTTTGCCTGATACAAAAATCCTAAAATAAAAACCTTTTTTTTTAAAAAAAAAATTAGATATTAATTTTTAAAAATGTTTTATATATACAATTTTTTTAAAACCACAGCTATTTCTGACTGATCCAAACTTTATAATTGAGATTCATTAGAACTTTTTGTTTTTTCCTGACATCAACACTATAAGGTTTATCAAGACACACCACAGTGATGGACAATGGATTGTTGTATGTATGTTTTAAATGCACTCATCTAATTTATAAAAAAAAAACAAAAAAAAAAACATGGTTATTTTAAAGGGAAACGTGTTTTCAATCCCCTGCCCGATGTTGGTCCAGTTGCACTCAATTTGAAACTTATATAAACAGGAAAAGTGTTATTTGGGTTGTTTTTCTTGCTAATTACAAAGATCCATCAGCGGCCAAGCTCAAACGCAAACAAAGCAAGTTTAAAAGGGTCATTTGGAAAAGATTTCAAACATTCTCCTGTGTACATTTAAAGTAAATACAAATACATTTTGCATTTTGACTGTCAAAAGTAGATTTTTTTTTCATTTAAACAACACATGTTTTCTGACTCTTTACCCACTTTCTGAAACTTAACCTCATAGAGAACAGATTATTATTATATACAGAATATTTCCATATGCCGATAAGCTGAGCAAAGCTGTGTAGCTTTGTAGATTTGTATGTCTGAGTGGCTGGCATGAACAGACAGAATAAGGAGTCTCCAAAACACGGTGCAGTGCTGATGATGGAACAAGACTTGAAAAAACAGCTGCATTCCCGCAAAATCGTGCTGAATGATATGCAAAAACAGAAAAATCATATTTCATTTATTTCGACAGACATTGACAAATGACACAATTTTAGTGGCCAGCTTTGTCATTTATTTTATACTTAATAAAACATGAAAATGATTCTGATTTCTACACTCTAACATCTGGATTTGTAGGGTGGGCAAGTCTGTAGCGTTACAATGCTTAATTTATAATAGTATGCTGTGATTTATTTTACTTTTATCAACAAATTGCAGACATTTGGGTAGTGCACTTGGCCATATTGCAGGTTCGATAGTATTTCAAATACTGTTCAGCCCTGCTGCCTAGTGACGCTATTGCAGGAGCTGCTTTAATTACCTGTCGAGTGGACAGCATTGTGTGTCTCTTTTTGGTTTGGTTGTTGACAAAAGTCTTTCTGGTTGATCTTTCTCTTTAGGGTACTTTTATGTCTCTTTATGGCCTTTCTGTGTCTATTTTTGGTTGTTTTTTGTTACTTTGTGGTTGTTTTACATCTCTTTATGGTCATTTTGAATCTCTTTGTGGTCATTTTGTGTTTCTTTGTTGTTCTTTGTTGTCTTTTTTCATCATTTTCTAGTTGCTTTGCCTCTTTAGGGTATTTTTGTGTCACTTTATGAGATTTTCAAAAAATCTTTTTGTGTTCCTTTTGCATTACTTTGTGGTGGTTTCGTTTCTCTTTGTGGTCCTTGTGTTTTTCTCATCAAATTCTTAGAACAATTTTATTTTAGCTTCATATATCAATTACTTGTATTACTAAATCTGTCTTTAAATTGTCCATTGACCCACTTTCAGCACCTTATCATCCAAAAAAATCTGCTGAAAGTGGGTCATCAGGAAATGCTTTTTAAATATTATCTTTGAAAGTCGACCTGTCCAGGGTGTCCCCTGCCTTCGCCCTAAGTCGGCTGGGATAGGCACCAGCCCCCCCGCAACCCTAATGAGGAATAAGTGGTGTAGTATAGATAATGGATGGATGGATCTTTGAAAGTCTGAAACTTTACAGATAGCATTTTAAATATTTATAACATTGACTTTATGATAAAATATCTTCAAGTAAATAGGAGACAGTGGACCAGAAGGCCCCTGATGATCTGAAATTGAATAACCCAAAAGTGATGTGTGAGTGAGGTGAAATTCTGACCTGTGACAGCAGCTTCTTGAGCAGCTGAGCGATGGCCGGATCCTCAGGCGTGGGACACTCTGGGATCGAACCTGCGCGCTTCTTCTGCCGAAGCAGCAGATGTCTGAAGAGGCTGGCGATGTCTTTGGAGCGCAGGGCGTAGTCGAAGATAGAGCGACTTACCGGCTCCTTAAGGACGCTCAGCAGGACCAGCTCCTTATCAATCTGAGGAGACAAAGTGTACGTACAGAAGGCTTACAAACCAGTAGAGCTCCAATTCAACCAAAAGATGCTACTGGTATGAAAATAATGCAAATAATAACAATAATGTAGCTATTAATCAGAGCTGTAGTTTGGTGATATGCTAGTAGTAATTTAACTGTGTATGATGATGATCAAGAATGTTTTAATTACATTCACATCAACCTAAAGTGCATGATTTATGGTTATAGTCTTGTTATATTTATATGTGTATTTTCCCTTTTTATTTTTTTCATTTTCTTATTACCTCTGCACTGACAAGTCACCAATTTGTGGAAAAGTGGAAGAAGACTAACAATAAAGAGAGGCAAAGAAAAGTGAGGCTTTCAAGTTCAAGTACTGAAGATGTGCATGGATGACGACGACTGTTTGGACTCACCTGGATGATGGGCTGGGTGATAAAGGGGTTGAGGTGAGGCATCAGTTTGCAGTAGACGTCGGCCACATTGAGGTGCTGTGCGACCACAGTGATGAAGCCCACTGCTCCATAACGGATCCACAGGTTGGGGTGACACAGGAACGGAGCTACAGCAAGCAGGAGAGAACGAATAGTACAGTCCAGTTTAATGAGAAATCAGCTACAAGTAATACTGGAATTGAAAAGAAAAGTCAACATTTATCAGCAGAAAAACTGCCCAAACCCAAAGCTTAAGCTTAAGCTGTAATATTTTAATGAAATCTATTTATTAGGGTGCAAGCACCCTTTGGGTGTGAAGACCCTATTGGAACTGCTCGGATGATTCGTACTATTCAAAGTCCCATTTTTTTTGCTCATTTTCGCTGTGCTTCCGGCATTCAATGGAGTCCTGTCGGAAGGGTGTTTCACCTACAGCTACAAGATTCAGTGGGCATGTGTAGCAGGTCAGGACGAACAAAAAAAGTCAGTCAGCGCCATGCCCTAAACCCAACAGGAAGCCCACCATTTTGAAAAAACATGGGGACAATTTTGGTGATTTTGGCTGAGTTTTGGACATTTTTGGCCATATTTAAAATCTATCTCCTCCTACAGGGAACGTTGTACACACCTGAAATTTGGCCAGCACAAACTACAGGAGTTGGTGATTAAAAGTTAGTAAAATGGTCTGCAGAAGTCTTTGGCCACAACGCCATAAAACGCCAGAATACAAGACGTGTAACTGGCCTGTATGTGCTCTGATCGGCCTGAAACTTTATACACGTGCTCCGAGTCTCAGCCAGAGCACGTTTCCACCACAGCCAACACGCACGCCGCCGCGGCTCGCCACTAAACAGGAAGTGGCTTGTAACTAGGCCGACATGCTCCGATCTGCCCCAAACTCGACACGCCGGATCAGTCTCGCCCGGAGCACATTTGCGTCACACCCCGACGTGCGCGAAGGCCGACAATCGTAGGGTGAGGACCCGTCAAATGCCGCTTGCAGCTTTAGTTCTACATGTAACCAGATTCTATTCAAAAAACGAAAAATTCTTGATTTCTCAGCACAGCAGACTCTCTAATATTCTCAGTACTCAGCTGTGAGAGTTTTCAGTGAACTGCAGGCAGTGCTTCCAAAGCAGAGAGGCGATGACAAGAGAGACAGAGGAATACAAAACATACTGGATCAACAAAATAAATACAGCATGGCTCAAAAACAGTATTTAGACGAGTAAGTTGTTGGAAGATACATCCAGCATGGTGAAACATCTTTTTACAGTTATTGTGCAGAGTAGACTGTAAAAATTTCTAGACTGTAAAAAAGTAAATATTACAAAAAACAACACAAACATGACCCAAACATTAGATGCTTCTTTTTTTTTTAAGCCACAAATCCACACTAGAAAGACAAAACTGTCCCAAAGACACATAAAACAACTAAAACAAAATCCAAAATGTATAACATGTGGAGCCTCCATTTTTTCCCAGTGTCAATAACACTTGTGGACAACTTTATCTGAAACTTTCTGAAACCATCTAGCTGTGCAAATGTGTTGTTAGTATTTGCAGTATTTCACTATTTCATTTCCTCCCTCTCTGGGACAGCTGCCTTTTTAATCCCTTTTCTTGATTCGCCAACATTTTTTAGAGCGTCTTAACACTTCCGATTTCTGATATCATCTGACAGCACACCTCAAGAACTGGCTCTGATCGACTATAATCGCTATATAAATAGTACCACTACTTCTAGTGTACCAAGGCATGTGTAGGTCAACAGAAACAAAAGCACAAGCTGGGACAGTTCAGTTACAGGTTGCTTAGTTCCGTTGGTTCACTTGTGTTTTGAAGAGTCCTGGTCGCACACTATATAAATAAATATGACAGAAGGACATAAATACAGCTGTGAGAGAAGCAGACACACAGAACTCACCAATGTCGCTGACAAACTCGTAGATGTGAGGTTTCTGCAGCAGGCCTAGCTGGCACATACAAGTGAGAGCGTTCAGAGCTTTGTAGATGACAAACTCCTCAGTGTCACTAAGGCCCTGCTGCAGGAGAGGTTTCAGGATAGAGGAGCTCTGCCAGCCCACGTACGCCGCAACACCTTCAGTGCAACATTGATAAAACAACAGACAACACAAAGGGAGAGTGAGATGACTGAAAACACCAACTGGATTCTTTTTTTTCCCTTGTCACCATCTGTAGAGACAGCAGTGATGTTGTCCAGCTAGGAGTCACTTTTCTGTCACAAATGGTAACTGTCTGATTTAGGAAAAATAAATCCCTAAATCCTAGGAGGGAGAGCAGCAGTAAACTTCAACAGTGCCAAGTTTTCAGTTATAACTAGCTCTTGAATTGGAGGCTTCGTCAGACCAAACAGTCCTCAAGGTGTCTGCTGAGCGACCTGCTTTAAAAGTGAGGCAACATTTAGAAAGATTTGATGATGCAGACAAGTAGAAACTGTGTCTTATAAGCATCTAACCTCAGATCCTGCTTCACTGTACAGACTTCTAAAGTGCTTCCATTTTTCTGAGGTTTCTTACCTACAATGCTGTCGAAAAACGCTCCCCGGAGGTGCCAGTCGTTCTTGTCATTAAGGAATGTGATCATGTGAGACAGCAGGACATCGTTGGCTTTCTGTCGGCCGAAGAAGACGCAGAGACGTGTGATGCCGTTCTCCATAAGCGACTGCTTGACTATGTTCTCAGAGTCGCTGAGTAGCGTCACCACCTTCTGCTGCACCATCTCATGCAGCGCCTGCAGCTCTGAGCATCAAACACACAGCGAGTTATTTTCATAGAAAAATACCTTTAACACCTGAAAAAGGAGGGTGGGTTCATACCTGAGTCATAGTTTTCATTGGGGTGGAGAGCTTCCTCGGCGTCCTCGCTGCTCAGGTCCTGCTCTGTGTTCACATTGTTTTCCTGAACCAGCTCGAGAAAACGCAGCGCGCTCTCTGCCAGGTGGGCGATATTCTCTAAACATCACCCCGAAAAGAATAAACATCGTATTTCAAAAAATACGCAATGAGTGCAGGATTCATGCAGTTTGAACTGATGTCAATAGTGTAGAGTTTAAAAATCTGATTTGAAAAAAAAAAAAGTATCAGTTTGTAATTTTTACATCAACATAAACATTGTTGATAAGAAAAGACACATTTCTGATCTCGTTATCAACAAATGTGGTGTAAAAACACACTTGTCAGAGCTCTCTGCTGGAAAATCTCCATAATTACCAAATCAGTGTCATTTCTGTGCATTTTTTACTGTTACTATAAAATGGTATTCATTTGTTTTTAGCTGAGTAAGAAAATGAATTTATTTTTTAAAGTTAAGTGTATTGTATTTCAGTGCCACTGACCTGCATACGCTAACCTGACGATGGTGGCGTCGTCCTGGGCAAGATGTGCGATGCCCGGGAGGATGTACTCTGGGTAGATGTTAACATCGTTCCTCGGCACCTCCTTCACCAGCGCCAGTACCTTTGCTAGAGTGCGCACGGCCTGAGCGCGCACGCGGGGCACGGGGTCGTTGCAGAAGTGCAGCAGGTAGGGCGTGATGCGGTCCAGCAGGATGTCGACGCCGAGACGCGGCGCCAGATGCAGGATGAGCTCCAGTGCAGCCAGCTTGGAGTCGCAAGAGTGCAGTGTCTGCAAGCAGGATGTGATGACAGACACCAGGACGATGAGGCCTTGCTCCTCACGGGAGCTCAGCACGCCCTCACCGCCGTCCTGCGACGAAGAGAAGGAGGAGCCTGGAAGGCAAATGTAATACAAAGGGGTGGTTACTGAACTGTAAGCATTAAACCTAGACTAGCATCAATTCACCAAATCCAAACATGGCCTAAAAGCAGCCCAAAAGCTAGTCTGAAAACTGTTGAAAAGCAATCTAAAACCAGTATAAAATCAGCTTGAATCACCTCTCAACTTGTATATGTGAGCTCTGTCTGGAGGGCACTAACTGTGATTATTCATTATTCTTTGACTTGGTCAACCAACAACTCATTCAATGTCTTACTTATCGGGGTATTTTTAGAGGCATAAATTTAACAAACATAAGATGAGGGAAATGTCTGGGAAGTCACAGGAGAAATGTGTGCTCTCTTCAAGCTATTTCACTGTATAACCATGAAAACATCGCTAGTGTCAGATATACTCAACCTCACCTCCTCGCAGGTTGTGCAGGATGTTGTCAAGGTCTTTGCGGATGACAAGCACTCGTTCGTCTGCAGACTGGAAAGTCTCTTTGGCGAACTGAGCCATGTAGGGCTGCAGGAAGGTGTAGAAGATGTCAGGGAATGCTTTCCCTCTCTGCTGCTTCAGATACTCCTCAGCTGTCAGACGCTTCTCTGGCTCCCGCCGAACCATCTGAGCCACCTGTAAGGGAAGAAGACAAAAATATGTTTCTTAATGGAGACATTTCATGCACATTTCCAGATCTGTATGTGAATGATGGGGCTCCACCCACAGAGCTTTACAATTTGACATGGGACTCCCCCAGGAATTTTTGAACATTTAATTTCCTGAATTCTAGTGATTTTTGTGCATCCAAAATTGCCCTGCACAATGTAATTATTAACTCCATGAGACGACACAGGTTCACCTGTACCGTATCTCTGGTGTGTTAGGAGTTTGAGAAGCACAGCCTCACTGTAAAAAAATAAAAAATTGCTACCAGCTCTCGGATGCTCCTATCCTCGATCTTCATGAGGACCTGCTCCGTCTGGAAGAGTCCTTTACGATATGCCAGCAGCTGTGACAGATCGAAGAGAGGAACACCCTCCGTGAACAACTCTGCGATCACACAGCCTGAAAACACAGAGACATAGTTTGCATAACAAAAACTGAAAGACACTGATAATCAATAATTCTGATTGAATAATTTCTTTAAATTAGGAAAGGTCTACATTTTCTTATTCCAGCTTCTTCAATGGGAATATTTTCTGGGGGAGGGGGTTCTTCTGTATGACTGTAAACTATAACTCTTCAGACAAAACAAGACATTTGAGGACATCTTTGGGAAATACTCTGACTTTTTTTGTTGTTATCATTTTCTTACATTTTACAGACTAAACTAATAGATCCATCCAGACAATAATTGACAGATTAATTAACAATTAAAATAATCATTGGTTGCAGTCTTACTGGTCATAAATATAGTCCTGTGAACAGCATTACTATCTGTGGCGATATTATCAGTTATAATTGTTTGAAATGGCTCCACTTCAGGTGTGTCTGTACCTGCAGAGAAGATGTCCATTGCCTGTTTCAGCTCCCCCCTGCTCCTCTGGTTGTTGTTTGTCAGGTCAACCAGCGGCGTGTTCTGGTCGCTCTCTGTTGTGAACATGCTTCCGTCCACAAACCTCTCAGGGGCGATGTAGCACGTCCTCCGTCTGGACGTGTCAAAGAAGTAGTTGAAGTCGGCAGGGTTGTCCTCCGGCAGGTACGTGGGCTTGAAGCTGGCGAAGTCAGTGAGCAGCACCCAGTTCCAGCTGGTCACCATCACGTTCTCCGTCTTGATGTCACCATGGCGGACGCCAGCCTTGTGCGCCTGATCAACAGCGTTGAGGATCTGGAAAGCAAGCCAACGCTTCTCCACATTGTTGAGAAAAGGCCGCGTGCTGATGCGATCATAGAGGTTGTCCCGGACATACTGACGGAACAGGATGGCAGCTTTCTCTGTCAGCGACGTCTTCTGGAAGGGCAGGCAGTTCTGGCAGGAGTGTAGCCGGATCTTCAGCTCTTCCAGCTCCTGTTTGTAGCTGGTCAACGGCAGTGACGGGTCCTGGATGGCAAAGACTTTCACCACCACCAGGCCCTCCCGGTGCTTAGCCCGGGCCACCTTGAAGAAGCGGGTGCTGCCCAGACTTTTATCATACTCATGGTCGTGGATATCGGAGAAGTAGCTGTCCACAGAGAGGATCTGAGAAGGGGCGATCCCTGCCAGCTGGTTACCCATCACGCTTTAACACGTCTGTGGAAGAATTTACAGACAATATTCATTTCAAAGACACATTTTTAGAAGACACCAACATATGTATCACTGAAGAAACTTTATTAAACAGGGATTAATTGACCCTGATTCTACTAAGAACAATGGAGAACAAACCAACATGTCCAAGAAGGCAAAATTTCAAGAAACCCTAAGTCAGCAACACAATTCAAGAAAAATCTCAGGGCTACACAATGGTATGACATGCTGGACCACGTTAAAGACCCTTGAGAAGCTTGTCCTGGTTCCAGCAGGGAAATGGATTCAGAGAAAACATAAATTAAAATCTAGAACAAAACTAGTTAGGTTGGTTCCCTCCAAAACAAATCCATTTTTCCTCATTCAGGGCTGTCCAATTCATTTTTACACACCCACTGTACCAGATCTCATTCAAATGACTCCCAATTTAAGACCTTACGTTATTCAGTTACTGAAGCAGCAGTCACATGATTCAACTCTGTGACAGCAATAGTTCAGCATACGGGCTAACCGTTATGTGCTCAACACTACAAGGCTTTCACATTACAATTCTACCGTTTAATTAAAACAAACCGGAGGCAGCGAATATCTGATGTTTACCTGCCGCTGTGGAGGCTGTTGTTGTTGTTGTTGTTGTTGTTGTGTTAGCGTTAGCAGGTTAGCTGTGCTTGATGTACCTTCAGTTACGTTGCTGCTGCTAACAGCTGCTAACGGCGACAAAACTTTAAACCCGGGCCCGATTCACCGTCTTCATGACGCCTCTCGGTGTTTTAGCTACCAAAGGCGGTCGGCTACGGCCCTCCGCAGTCACTGCTGAAACGCCACGCCGCTGTAAAATAAACGTAACCGTAAATAGCGTGCAGAAGCAGCCTGAATCACTGACCAGCCGAGCTAACCGATTAGCCGCTTCCAGCTGTTGTTATGAATCCGGGTCACGGCGGAAGCTGACATATAGCAGGTGATATGACAGCGCCATCAGCGGCCAACTGCAAGTACTGCAACAACATACCAATAAAGAGGTGAAAGCTGCTTCCGAAGGGGCAAAGGAAATTTACATTGCAGTGGAAAATGAGCCAAGAATGAGGGAAAGGGAGGCAGGAGCAAAATAAAAACAACCAAAAACTGCTTGGAGTTTAGAAGGTTAAAGTCCACATATGAATCTGACAGAACCTCAGAGATTTAGAATGGTAATTAATAAATAAAAGAATAAATGAATAAATGAATGAATGAATGAATGGAAAAATAAATAAATAAATAAATAAATAAATAAATAAATAAATAAATAAATAAATAAATAAATGAATGAATGAATGAATGAATGAATGAATGAATGAATGAATGAATGAATGAATGAATGAATGTAATAAATAGTGTTTGTCTGTTTGGAAGAATAAAAGCATTTTAAGAATCCTGCGGGGCTGAAAATCTCCATGTTGTCCTCATGATGTTGTTGCAGGATGCATCAGGGGACACTGGTCCACCAGCTGGTCCAGGAGGAGATGACGAAGGCAACCTGAAGGCCTTCCTGATGAGTGATTGGTTCAGTGTGAAGCAGTACCAAGCCATGCTGTCCATCATCCATTGGTTTCATGTGAGGGAGACATCCATGGAGGAGCTGCAGCTGGTCAACCAGGCGTCGGTGAGAACTCACTACAAAACCAAGAAGAGAAGAAATAGGTGCAACAAACCAGAAATGTCCCGGAAGAAGTACAGTGCTGAGGACAAGACCTCCTCTGATGAACAGCTCAGCACTGACTGCTCTTTACTCAGCGGGACCACATCAGAAACCCTGTCAGCTCACTCCAGGTTTCATCTTTCTGCTACTGAATTTATTCCTTTATAGAAATCTTTCATAGGGGTGATAAGTTGAGGCCATAGGAAGTCTTGGGGTAAAACACAAAAACTCAAAGCCATATCTGAATTTCACTCGTTTTATTATGCTGTTGTTGTATAAAATCTCCTGCTGATATACCTTTGGTTTCTTATTTCAGGTAAGGTTGCTAATTATTTGATGTGCACTGACTAATGCGGGTACAGCTACCATGCAGGTTTGGTTTGATGTATTATTTGGGAGATCGTTGATTAAAGTAGCCCAGGATAAATGATGCTGCAGTTTGAGGGGGAAAGTTCATCTATGGGCATCAAACCCTGTTAGAAATGTGAGTACAATACATACACATTCAAAGTATATTATGAATTCAACACTGAAAATTCTGTCAGTGCATGGGGATAACTTATCAAACTACAGCAACTTAAGGAGCAATAATTTACCTAATTGCCCCTTGGGGATAGATAAAGTTTTTTCTGATCCTGATTCTGATAAAATGTGCGTTTATTGCTACAAGCTGCTGTATTTTGATAGTTATTCATCAGAGAGGTGACATTCTGGAATGCATCCATATGCACAACAATGTCACTGCTGCAGATATCCTGCTGGGGAACTTTAAAACACGCCTAATGGCAAAAATGAATATTTTATCAGTTCTTTTGTGTTTGATAGATTTTCAAATCCACTTTGTCTTGACCAGGGTTCAATAGAAGCTGTTTAAAATATGAACACATATCCAGCAGACTGAAAATGTCCTTGTAGGGGTGGAAAGTAACTTTATTAAGAGTACCTCACATACCTACAGTTTGAAAGATGAACATGTTAATGCATCAATCATTATCTTTCTTTCTCAATATATGTATTATATATTGTTAGTATATTTATTGTTCCTACACTCTTACAAAGCCAAATAAATACGGTAGATCTCACTCAAAATTAAGGTAAGAAACTGCATTTTGATAATGGAAAATGGCTGTATATTTATGAGAGGTTATTACCTCTGCCAAGGAGGTTTTATTTTAGCTGGCGTTTATCTGTTTGTTACTAAGATAACTCAAAAGTTATCAATGGATTTTCATGAAATTTTCAGGAGATGTTGATTTTTGCACAATGAACAAATAATTAAAGTCTGGTGATGTTCCGACTTACCATCTGGTTGTTGTCTCATAAAACAGTAAATGCTGTCAAAGTATCACAGTCGAGTAGAATTCTGTCATTGCGCCGTTTGTCCACTAGATGGAGCTTTGACTCCATTCAGTCCGCAGTCCTCACTGCTGTCTTCTCAGTCCTACAGGAGGAAGCTACAGCCAGACATCATTACAGGAGTGGGCTGAGCTACTGACAGATAAGTTCTTAACGACGTGACATTAGCAATGACTCAACATGTCCCCTGTTTAACTTTAACTCTCTTTGCCACGACTGACGCGTGCTTCATTGCGTCGGTCATGCTTTTTATTTCCATTACATTGCTAAAGTTGTGCTAACCTAGCTTAAGTTACTCCCTGTCTGTTAGCAATAGCATAACGAAAGTGTACAAAATATTTGAGAGTGCAGAATGGCCTTTCATCATTAAAAGTATGATGACCTTAGTTTGCCAAGAGCACAGAGTGACACATTTTATATTCAATTTATTCACAAATAGCTTGAAAGTGCTGCTTATCAGGTTCAGTAATAGACTGTAAGCAGGTTTGCTTCACTTTTGTAGGTCCTTGAATCAGCCAGTGGATGGACAATGTTGATTTGTGGTAGAAGCTGTAACAGTGTTCTGTGGTAAGAAACCAATCACCAACAAATCTCCTTGGTAGGTAGCTGTTCTAAATAGCAAACTAGACACTTCAGCTCTTGTTGTATGTACGTGACAGAACATATGGATGTATTACCACGTCTTGATGTATCATTTGAACAATTGTATTTCTAAAACACAAAAACAGATGATGTTGCAGCGTCCTCCAGGTATGTGCTCCAGCTGTGAGCCTCCTTCAGTGCTGAAAAAAAAACACAAATAGAGTGGATGCTTTCAAGTATGCTGAAGTAGCAACAGACACATTTTCAAGCCACTCCATCATTTCCAAGTGGCTTTGCTGTCAGTGCTGCTTTGGCAACAACCGCATCTCTTTCTGCTTCGCTCAGACATTTGCAACTGCCACACAACAACAACAACACAAAACCATCAACACAGTTGAGGAAAAGTAGGAATGGAACAAACTGCTGGTCTACGCTACTCATCAATAAGTAATCAGTCAGTGAAAATACCTTTGATTTGAGAGGAAAGACAAATTCCTCCAATTCGGTATATTTTACTACCTCCGCCAAGTAGGCTGTGTTTCAGCCAGCGATTGTCTGTTTGTCTGTTGATTGTTGATTGCTATCAAGATACCTCGAAAAGTTATGAACAGCTTTTCATAAAATTTTCAGGAAATGCTGATAATGGCACAGTGAACAGATGATTACATTTTGCTGATGTTCTGGTATACCATCTGGTTATTTTCTCATAAAACAGTAAATGCTGTCGAAGTGTCACAGTCGTGCAGAATTCTGTCATTGCGTCGTTTGTCCACTAGATGGAGCTCTGACTCATTCAGTCCTCAGTCCTCACCCCTGTCTTCTCAGTAGTACAGGAGGAAGCTGCAGCCAGACAGTACTGCAGGAGTGGGCTGAGTGGAGTTTGCTGACACATAGGTTCATAACGACGTTGTGACATTAACAATGACTCAACGTGTCTCCTGTTTCACTTTAGCTCTCTTTGCTGTGCATCATGACGCGTGCTACGTTGTGTCGGGCGTGCTTTTCATTTATGTTGCTATAGTTGCGTTAACCTAGCTGAAGTTACCTGTCTCTTTATGTTAGCGATAACATGGCTGTAATTATGCCACTCAGCATAGCGTTAGCTAACACCTTAAAAGCCCGTAAGTATTTGCAGAAATAACGTAAGTGTACAAAATATTTGAGAGTACAGAACGACCGTTCATCACTCCGTCAGCTCGTAATTAACGATGTCAATGTTAATTCAAATGCTAAAGCTATGTTTTGATTATCCATCAATCTAATAGTGTCTACACCAGGGGTGTCCAATCCTGGTCCTCGAGGGCCACAATCCTGCATGTTTTAATTGTTTCCCTCTTCCAACAGACCTGATTCAAATGATCAGGATCGTGGATCGCAGGATTGTGGCCCTCGAGGACCAGGATTGGACACCCCTGGTCTACACCAATGACTGCATCTCCAAGCACCCAGCTGTCAAACTCTTGAAGTTTGCAGACGACACTACAGTCATCAGCCTGATCCAGGACGGTGAGGAGTCTGCATATCGGCAGGAGGTTAAGCTGC